GTTCCTTTTTTTAAACTATTTGCAACGACTAAATTAATTACAATATAAAACAAAAGAGTACTGTTGAACCCCAAAATGTCAATATGAATATATTAAATACATTATTAATAAATCATAATTAAAGGTCCAATGTGTAACATTTAGGAGGCTCTATTGCAAGAATGCATGTCTATATTTAGATTAGTGTATAATCAACCTAAAATTAGAACTACAATGTTTCTACAGTTTGCTTAGAAGGGACAAACAAACACTGGCTCTAGCTGGGGCCATTCATATTTTTTTGCATGTTTCATAGCACTGTAGTTTCTCCTTCGAGCTTGGAAGGTGAGGGTGGCATGAGGGAGTTGCAATCTGAGCTATATACACTAGATGCCACTAAATCCTCCACACTGGACCTTTAATAAATTGTGATAACACATATAGCGTTGTGTTATTGAGCGGAAGCTAACATTAGCTTGGTTACTTCTGCGACATTTAGAATTTTAAAGATTTTCCTCTGAGAATTAACATTTAGAATTTTAAAGATTTTCCTCTGAGAAATAAACACAACTCTGAATTGCTTAAGCAAACCGGTGCTAACAGCAGCTCTCCAGTCCAGCTAGTTAGCTTGCTGGATAGGTGATACATAGCATGAGCGGCCTTGTTAAGCTAAGACTTAACTAAAGAGGTTTATTTACTGTGTCTGTTTATTTAAAGGCTCTAGTTGGTTGATTGAGACGTACTTCTGCCGAAGGTGAGAGGGCGGCTCACTGTCATGAGAATCGACATTACGAAATAAAATGATCTTTGAAGGGTTTTTATATACTGAAATAAAATTCATATCCAATAAAACTGCTATTACATTAATGAGTTTAGTTTTAATAATAATAATCATTTATTTTATAATGTCTCTTTTATTCATCCAGTATTGAACTATTTGGGGTCCCATAAGTACTTTCTTTAAAAACAGCAGTGTTTATGTTCTGGAGTGGCCACGTCTTCACTCAGAAATGAACAAAATTAATGAGTTTTTTTTTTTACAAAACTACTGTGTCAGATTGTCAAAACTGATACAGCCCTCCTCCACACAGTAGATTTATTGCTGCCAGAGGTGTCTACTAAATATTGATTTATACTGTGTAGCTTTATATATGGCTTTATACTTTGGAATCATTGGGCTGAAAAATGAACCTTAGCCAATATAACAGCAGGATTTTATGTTTAGCTGCATTCATTTCACACTGAAAAAGAGAAAACGTGTTGCTCACACCCTGTTTGCATCTCTTTCAGTGAACTCAGTGACTACGTTTCTGTTCACTCCACGCGGGCCTCAGATGTTTCCGTGTCTAACTTACCTGGAGCGGTACGTCAGAGTGGACTGCGAGTTTCCAGCCACCTACCAGGTCCCCGGGCCCTACTGTGAATATCGGCAGGACAGCCGGCTGGTGGGCAGCACCTACCCCAACGCCATTGTCTATGTGTCCGCAGAGGACCGCAGGAGGAGCAACGTCAGCCTGGTCAATCCCAATTTGTGCCGCCTCACCTGGGCCCCACTGGCTGATGAGAAGCCTTTCACCTACACCTGCAGGGTTTACCAGGGCAGCAGCTGGAAGGAGAACAGCATGGCCGTCCATCACAGTGAGTAGAGTTCACTTCAGCTCTTTTTTTGGGTCTTTGTCTCCTCCGAACACCACCTGAAATAATGTCTAAACTCACATTCTGCTCCCCTGCAGGGATTCTTCCAATCTGCTCTGCAATCAGCGTAATGTGCCAATCAGCGCCATGGCTTTTGTCACTGGTGATGTCACTTCCTATGGCTGTGGGTCTTCTGAGTCCATGAACTTCACTTTCACAGGGATACAACTCAATGGACTTCATCCAGGATTTGTGACTTACTCTGGTTTGATGGTTGGTGGTTGACTCTGATGATTTTATTTTATTTTTTATTTTTTAGGCAGAGAGTAGAAGCCATGACAACCCCTCAAAATAAATAAGACGTAAATCAACCTCTCATTGAGCATTGGATTATTCTTTAAAGATGTAAAATTATGATGTTATAGAATAAAATAAAATGTTAATTTTCTATTATAGTAGCTATTAAAAAGAGCAGATTGCAATCAGTTTTTTAATCTGTTGTCTTGATCAGGTCCCCCTTGTAAATAAGATTCATTGGGACCTATACCTACATTATATAAACAGTCAACAGTAAATATTAATTTTGTGGTTTTGTATTTTTTTTTTAAGAAAAAGAGATGCTTCCTATAGATTTTTATTGCATCTTATTGCGGTACCGGACACAAATGGGTGTAATTATGTTCCCTGACATTAAAAGTGGAGAGCTTCCCTCGACACTAAATGAATGGAGTGCCCATTGATTGGATTTATTATGCTACACATTTATCAAACGTTACAGCTTTTTGTCTGTCAGTTCAACCCCTGATTTGGATTACATTACAGTCTCACTAGTTTGCTCAGCTCTACAGCGCGGTATATAGTATGCATTATAGACAGGTATTCAGGGGGCTGATATGGCTGTTGAGTAATCGTAAAGAATAACTGCTCAAACACTGCCTTTCCTACTAGCTAATGCTAATACCTTCAGTACCTTAAAATAAAACAAAGACGTCAGTACAATGGACGCCCATGTGAGATTCACCTGCTTATAGCAAAGTAGTTCAAACTGTCTTTTTTCTACTCACACATGGTGCAATATCAGTTTATTCCCCCATGGGCAGCAATAAAACAAATACTTAACGTGATTGGGAAGATAGTTCTTTACTTGAAGATCTTTGGACAAAAGACTTTAATGTCAGTTTCACTCGGTGCTTTGATGCTAATTTGTCCTACAGCCTAAAAATGCATGCAGATGTGTAACTGTTTTAACTTCTAGTTTGCGGAGACCATATAATGATGTGGTTGAGGTGGAGGTCTCACATTGAGAGTGATACTGCAGCTGAATAAATGACCTATTTCTTAAGCAGGTCAAGTAATAACTCATGAACAGACATTGAGTATATGGTGAAAGCAAGAGGTGGTGGAAGTGGTTTTGCACAGTAAATATTCATGGTAATAATCAATGTGTTTAAATTAGACATTGCTCTCCTCCTGTACAAGTATGCATGTGTTAATGCACACACACAGACAATATGTGTATGAACTGTATGAGAATATTGTAGCTTTATGGGTTTTTAAAAAACGGCCTCCATTTGAATATTTTATGTCTCCGTTTACACACCTTCCACACTGTCTAAACACACACATTTAACGCCTTTATATTATATATCTCTGTATGCTGCATACTTATTTCAGCCTGCTATTTTTTACTTTGATGCCACATTTCTAATTATGTCCACAGTGCATTACTGCTTTATGTTGCCTTCATTTTGAAGATGCCACGCTGATCAGTATTATTTGCAAAGTAGTACTTGTAATAAAGATGTCTTATATTTTTCAAATAGACAAATCAGCTTGTTTCTTTGATCCTACCACCAAAGGTGTAGTGAAAGCTATAGCAAAACTATAGTAACAAATAAAGGTTATGCACAATAAAGGTTTCCTTTTCCTTTTGTCTTTTCTCTGCACAACTCTCAAGACACTCCTGCACATCATACAATTCTTTCTTATTGCTGAAGACAATCAAAAATATATACATAGTACATATTGTAGTATATTCACATATCTGCAGCAACATAAAACAATGTTGGAAAAGGAAAAGAATCACACCTAATGCTGTCCCTAATGTGGCAACCTGTTCTGGGGGGTGTAGCCCTAACTCTTGCTCAATGCATGCTTGGATCAAAAAGAATCATAAAAACAATCAGCAAGAAAAATGGAATGAATTAAACTTTCTGGGGCTTTTGTATCAAGCACACTTTCCTTAAACACTAGATGTCTTCAAAGCATTTAGTTGCTGTCATTGGTGGTGCTTCCAGTTTTTGTCCTGCAGAGGGAACTCTTGTTTTGCACAACCACTGAAGGCACCTAAACAGTATGTTTATGGTATTAAGGTCACACAACTGAGCCCCAAAATGCATCAGGTTGTAGAGGTCTTTTTTTCTGTATTTTTTGGGGCTTTTATTGCCTTTTTTATTGATAGTGACAGCTGAAGGTTGACAGGAAAGGGGGCAGAGAGAGGGGATGACACGCAGCAAAGGGCTACAGGTCGGATTCCAACAACCTAGGCTGCCTGTAGCAAGGCTGCGCCTTGGTACATGGGACGCCATCTCTACCAACTGAGCTAACCAGGCACCCAGGTTGTACAGGTCTTTTTGACAGAAAAAACAGATATACGTAAGTGCACAGAGCTGATGTTTGCCAAAAGGACACAGTATCTGTCTGTCTCTCACACACAGGCTTCTAGTGTATCCATAAAGGAGAATGCCAGTTTCAGAAACTAAATTCACTGTGATCAAATCCCCGGAGTGGGTTTATACATTTCTAACTTTAATTTAGGAGATAGGTTGCAGTTGTCAGCATGCATGAAAAGGGAAAAACTATCTAGACTGACTCTTGAGTAAGCAGCTACCAACTAAATGTATCTCAGTTGTGCAGCACTGACACTATTTTTCTTTCATGTGTATTAACTGACACACTGTAAAAGCTACACCTATTTTATCAGGTAACTTTATGGGTGTTTTGTTCAGAGTTATTTTCTAATTGTGATAGTTCACAGAAGAACTGGGCTCCTTCAGAGGGAAGAGGTTTAACATTTAGTTCTAAAGGCAGCTGCCTCAAATTGTGCTGCATAAACGAAACAGTGTCACTTACTGTAAAGCGTGCATTGACTGCAGCTCACTGCCACTTCCTGTGATATTAAACCAGTGGAAATATTTCTGCATGGAAATTAGATGAGCTCTTAGTTCAAAAGAACAAATAAAAATACTGTGCTTGGCTTCCTGTCCTCATAAATAACCTTCATCTCTGTTTCACCACAGTGAGCACCAAAAACGTGTGTTCTTCTTGTAATTTGTAGATGAATGGAACATATTAATTTGAATTACTATACTGCAGATTATTATTATGTACAATCTTGTGTGGCTCTGGAGGGAGCTTTGTACAGTCTGAGAAAATTAATCATGTCATCATGGTTATCCTCAAAGCCTGTTGCACACCTTTCTGAGGAAACATATCGTTCAACCCAGAAACTGCACCATAACAGTGATTTTCCATTTTCAGATCATATTTGCAACAAAAATGGGGTGTGGTGTAATGAAAAGATTGTAGAGCGTAGGCTCCAGTGTTTTTGGAGTTTGAGCCATACTAGAGACTAAAGGTCTGCATATCATATATATATATGCTTGACCACTCTTGACAACTTTAAATCACAGAGTCAAAATTGATTCAGCGTGGGTTAGTATAGCGTCGAATAAATACTGGATTAACTTTACCCGGTAGCAAGGGGTTGTTTTATATTTTAGTTTGGTTAAAAGAGTTTATGGTTATGAAACAGTCTCAATTTAATACCGATGCTCTATATTGGACCAACATACAAACAAGACATCAGTTGGAGGAGATTGGCGTATTCGTATTTGGTTATTTTTATTTAGTGTCACTGTCCGATTTGGGTCGGTTCTTTGAATTCAACCAACAAGGGTAGAAACACTACCACTTTTGTACAAAATGAAAGTTTCTTGTAGGGCCTTTAAGTAAGCCAACAATATTATAAGACATTTCACTAACCCAGTATATCCATATTGGGTCCATATTATGTTATTTTATCTGTGTCTTATGAAACAATAAAGTCTTCTTCTATCCATTCATCTCCTCCCTCTCAAAAGCACTTCTGTTTGTGCCTGAAGACCAAACTAAACACCCTGCAGCTTCCTCAGGAGCATTTTACTGGACCAGTGTTTTAAATTGATCCACCAATGATCCTGTAAACCTGAGCCCTGATCCAGCCCTGAGTCGCAGGTAACCAGAGTTGTTTGCATCCATACAACCAACCTGATTTCCTCTGTTTCCTGTTCAAGACTCATGTGATCAGCTGCTCCCGGATTAATCTTATCATGAATTAATCTTCATGCTGGCCTCCTTTTGAGAGATACAGCAAGGCATTGCAGGTCATCTGACTCCGGGGTGTGCATGTGCATATTCTCCTTTATATTAGCACAGCACCAGTGGCCCAAACCACCTAATTTCCTGGCTTTGTGCCTGGGCCACACAGATAAATTAGCCCAGTCCCAGTTTGCTCTGAAGCCCCACCAGGCCATCGCCCCCCCTTTGGGAAAAGCTATCTCCAGAGGTCCACCTTATTTATACAGGCATGGCAGGAATAATCTCCATCAGCTCTAATGTGCATTAAACAAGCAGCCATCTTCCACTCTGTGCAGATGTTAATAGAGGTTCTGCTGCAATGTCTATGAGTCAATTAGGAGCATCAAGCAGGAGTGGGAGCACAGGAGGACACCTTTAAACCACATCTGTGTCATGAGGTAATGTTTATGGAACAAACAGCAAATCATTCATCTTGAACACATTGTGCTGCAGAATAACCTTTATATTCAGAATCACAAAGACAAATGTTTGTAGTTTGTTA